TTAGTTCAGTAATTTAAACAACTTGTCAGCTGAATAATTCGGAAGAATAAAGTAGTAGCATCAATGCGACATATTCTTCAAATCCTATATAAATATAGGTTCACTGTGGTGAGTAAAATACAAATATAAATATAAGTTCAATGTGGTGAGTAAAATACAACTATAAATATAGGTTCACTGTGGTGAGTTAAATACAACTTTTAATATAGGTTCACTGTGGTGAGTAAAATACAACTATAAATATAGGTTCACTGTGGTGAGTTAAATACAACTTTTAATATAGGTTCACTGTGGTGAGTAAAATACAACTACAAATAACATTCATATAATATACAATTCACCACTCTAATACTCTTAGTCTTACTTTCCTCGATTCGCTCTTTTCTAGGATTACTAATGAGGGGTGGAATCCCCCAAAACAAGTAAAACTCAGTGAAAAGTGGCGAACAAAGGATAGTTGGGGGTTCATGTTTATTTTCAGAAATTTATTTCTATTACAAATATTTTTGTTTCAACAAAACTTGATGTCAAAGTTCACTTAATATTTAAGTCGTTTTCTTTAACGACCTTAAACAGGATATTTCAAGTCAATGAGCTACAATAAACCGTGAACATTTCTGTCAGTAAACATGCAATATATAATTAATTGCAAAAACAAAAAACATTTCAGAATCCATTTGAGATCTAATAAAAGTGAGCTCATGAGAACCAGGATTACCTTCATTTCCCCCTTGTGAAACGGGCGTGGCCAGATAGTTATCGTGCCGAACTGTGAATCTGATAGTTTCAAGTTCCGTTGCAGTTTAATAAAACATGATTTTATAAAATCTTAATATCATACAGGCACTGTAGTTAATCTCAAACTATTAAATATCACATTTATAGGGTTTGTGGATTTATAACGCTAGAAACCGGGTTTCGATACAGGTGGTAGGCATAGCACAGATAGTACATTGTGTAGCTTGATGCTTAACTACAAACACATTATAGGGTCTACTTAAGGTATAAACAATACCAAACACTTTGCTTAAAATCAGTGATTTTAGCCTGAAAATCAAAGAGATGAAGTAAAACAACGGAAAACAAAAACCTGAAACTTTTATTAAAAGTATTTGTGTTTTATTCTATTAACACTTAATATTTAGATTATAAAGTGTAATGTAGGTATTTACATTTTAAAAAGGGGAATTGAGCATGCAGAGACAATAGCTCACGAATACGTCCGTAAAAACTTCTGATTCATCTCGTTCATGCTTGGAACAATAGGCGTTCACGATGCTTGGAAGGCATGAATTAGTATAGCCACTAACTAGTATTATCTGAATATAACGTATGTTGAATACAACAGTGTGAAATAGATTTAGGTTCTATGAGCATTCAGGAGCGTGCATTTACTTACATATTGCCATTACTCTTAAATACGAAACTGTAGTATATTTTATGTATAACTTTTACACAGTAAAAGATGTGCAGGGATTTATAGAATATGGTACACAAATGAATGGATGTGAAATAGGAACGTGGAGAATAATTAAGGTTGTTTGAATACGTGTAAGATAATTAATGAAATCAAGTGTGATGAAATCACAGCAAGAAACTTTCATTGAGTGACAGAAGAAAAGAGTAGTTGCTACATTTCGGTTGTAATTAGTGTATATACCTTATTTGAAATCCTTGAAGATACTAGTATTTTCTATGAAACAAGTGTATTTATGGTACATTACTTAGAGATGAGTTAACAAAGATACTAGCTTTTTCTTTATCAGAGTCGATTGACTTTGTCTCCTGTGACTCCTGCAGATGTTTGTCCAATACATTTGTCTGAAGGGATGGAAGCTGTCGTGTTGTGAGGCTCCATCTTGGCTTACTTATTGCTTTGTGTTAGTAGCAAGAGTAATATAATCTAACACTTTGAGTACGTTATATTAAAATTAATTTGAATATGCAAATCAGTAAATCACGAGACACTCGCAAGCAATTTAAAGTCGCAGTGGAACAACATGTATCAGAACTACATCTTGACATTGTCTGGCGTTAAGTAGTAGTGTGTTGTCACCGAAAATTAATTGCTTTTAGAAAGGGAATATAACATCCCTTTTCCTTGTTCTTAATAGTAATTAAAAACAAAAGAATTGGATCAGTTTGGGCTACCAGGACTATCTCCAAAGAGCCCTGCAACAATTCTTTCCCCAGCATATGGTAAGCCAAATGAGGCGTCTTGTAACAGGTGAGAGTTTACGAACACAAAATTCAGAGGCAAAATTCGTCCAAGTGTCTCAGACAATAATACACAACATAATTAAGAATTATCTGTCTGGAAAAGTGACACAAGTCAGTGTACCTAAGCTGCTTCTACCACATTATCAGTTCTATAGTCGCATATTTCCAGCAGCTGACAGAATGAAACGGGTATTCATATTATTTCACATAAAGACATACCAGTCAAGGCGCCAGACAAAGCGTCTATGGTTTGCTGTGCAATCTGACTATTCAAACGGGTGTTGGGAAACGTCCTCGTATGCTAGATGGATTATGAAAAAAGCAAGGAGGAAGGGCATACTTGGAACATGATAGCCTTACGATGGAGCTTTTTGCAGTGAAAACTAAGCTTCAGAGTTAATGTCAAGATACGAGGTGGCCAGGTAGAGTATGACCAGATGTAACAACATAGACTGCAACAACGTGGTGGGGCTCCAAAATTGTTTTAGTATAACGTATTCAGACCTCTGTATTTGTTACATTATGAAAGCTGTCAGTTCTTCTGAGCAGTTTTTGAAAACTTATCAGTAACTATTTCGTGTCCTATCCTAGAATCATTGTAAATTAATAAAACAAAACGTTTGTCTAGTTTCACAAATTAATAAATTTAATAGGATATTTGTTATGCAAAAAACGACTCCTTTCTGTTTCTCTGAAGATTCAGATGATTTCAGTCGAATAATTTGTTTTGTCACCCTTTGTCTGTTTTTTTTGTAATTAAGCACAAAGCTACACAATAAGCTATTTGTACTTTGCCCACCACGAGTATCGAAACCCGATGTTTAGCGTCATAAGTTCAGAGACTTACCGCTGAGCCACTGGAGGACTTTTGTCACTCAAGACAATGGGATGTTGGAAATATTGTATTCATATTAAACTTACCTTCCACCTCCTGACCCCTAAAATATCGGTATGAAAAGTCCTGGTCCATTATGTTTGATATCTGTGTTTAGAATATAAAAACGTTATAAATTCAGAAGCTACAAAACAGATTTCTGTCGTATTCTAAAT